GGCGCCTGTGGCCCTCCCGCCACCCGCAGCCACGCGCGAGGGGACGGCGGGGCCCCGCCTGCCCCTCCATCCGGGGCGGCCCCGCCCGCGTCGCCGCGCGGTCACCATTTTCCCTGCTGGTGCCACGGCGCCAAAAGGCCGGGAAGCGCTGCTCTGGGCCAGTGCCAGAGCCAGCGCGCCTGAGCTGCTGCGACCAGCCCCCGGCGGCTGGGGACACTCGTCTGAAGAAGCGAGCTGGCTCCCTCTTCCGACTACTGGATCCAGGGGCGGATCCGGGCGGCGGCGGAGGGACGGGGAGCGATGTGGCAGCGCCACCTGGTGGCACGTCACGCCACCAGCACTCTCTCCCGAGCAAAGCAGACCGTGCCCTTTATGACACGGGCCTGACCTCCAGTGCTGAAATAGTGCCTGGCGCGTCCCGGCGGCTCATGACAGGCAACGTCTACTTATTGGGCAAAGACTCTGAGGTCTTTTATAATTAATAGACTTTTTTAGATGAACAGAAAAATTGGGGAGCTGGTACAGAGTTCCCATGAACCCTCCCGGTAATACACGCCCTGTTCATCCTGTTAATAACGTCTTCCGTTGGTGGGGTAACTTTGTTACATTTAATGAACCAGTATTGTTACGTGAGGACTAACCAAGTTCCACTGGCACTAAGCTTCACTCTTGGCCTGCATCCTATGGGATTTGCCAGACGCATGTCGTGTATCCACCATAGTGCCACCACGTTCAGATTTCCCTGCCTCTAGGGGTTCACTCTTCCCGGACTCGAAGCCCTGGCAACCTCTGGTTTCCTGGCAAGTGCTGCCTTTTCGAATGCCACGTCACTGGAATCGCATAGTCGGCAGACTTTTCAGATCGGCTTCTTTCACTTAGTGATATGCATTTAAAATTCCTCCCTGTCTTTTTTGTGGCATGATAGCTCATTTTTTCTTAGCACCGAATGATGTTCCATGGGCCTGGCGCACCACAGGTTACGCACCCGTCCACCTGCCGAAGGGCGTCCCGGCTGCTTCCGGTCGTTGGCAGTTACGGCTGTAAACGCCCGTGTGCAGGTTTTGTGTGGACACAAGTTGTCACCTCCTTTGGGCGAATACCAAGAAGTGCAGCCGCTGGGTCACAGGGCGAATGTGTCCGGCTCTGCAGGAACTGGCTGCACTGTCCCAAGCGGCCCAGGGCAAGTGTGTCCAGCTCTGCAGGAACTGGCCGCACTGTCCTGAGCAGCTGCACCATTTTGCTGGCACAGTCCCTGTGGCTTCACACCCTCGCTGGCGGGTGGCAACCTCGGGGTTCCAGGTTTTAGCCATTCTGGTGGGTATGTAGTGGCAACTCATAGTTGCTTTAATTTGCATTTCCCTGATGACATATGATTCGGAGCATCTTTTCATGTGCTTATTTGCCATCTGTGTATCTCCTTTGGTGGGAAGGCTATGCAGATCTTTGCCCATTTTTTTTTTCATTTGGGTTGTTTACTTGTTGTTGAATTTTAACTTAGTATATTTGTATATCAAATGTGTGTTTTGTAATATATTTTAATATTTATGAAATATACACAGATATTTAAATAACACATATTTGTTGAGATGTCACCTAAAATAATTTTCTATACCATCTGTGGCATGTGTACGACATTTGGGGAAGTATTATTTAAATCTTCCAATTAAAAAGAAAATAGCAATAGCACAGACTCGTTTCTGTGGACATACATTTAAAGCGAAATCACCATATAACACCCATGGAAACTCACTTTCCGTAGGCTGCAGCCTTGACAGACAGCTCTTTTTAAAATGAATGAACTAGTCCGACCCACGGGGCAGGAGGCTTTGCACAGCCAACATCCATGCACCACTGTTTGCCTCGGGAACTCATCTGCATGTAGATTTAAATTATATTTCTTCATAATTTTCTTAGTCCATTGGGGCTGCTATAACAAAGTACTATAGACTGTGTGACTTATGAACAACAGAAATTTATTACTCACAGTCCTGGAGGCTGGACATCCGAGGTCAGCTGCCAGCACGACCAGGTACTGGTGAGAACTCTCTGAGATGCAAAGGGCCATCTGCTCGTCTTCGTGCTGTGTCCTCATGTGGCGAAAGGCGAGGGAGCTCTCTGGGGTCTTTTGTAAGGACACTAATCACATTCACGAGGGCTCTGCCCTCATCAGCTCATCAGCCCCCTCCCGGAGACCCCACCTCCCAAAAGCATCACATTGGGGGGAGGTGTCAGCACATGAACTTGGGGGACACAGACATTCAATCTGTAACGACTTAAAGTAACCGCTGCTCCTCCCAGAGGTAATCTTGGTAATAGCCTAGTTTTAGACATGCTGCCCACACCAAGTGAGTTTTAATTTCAAATGATGTCTAGCAAAGGTTCCCAACCCGCCAAGCTGCAGATCTGTAACAGCCTGGCCGGGCTGCACAACAGGAAGTGAGTGGTGGGCGAGCGAAGCTTCATCTGCGTTTGCAGCCCCTCCCCAGAGCTAGCATTAGGGCCTCAGCTCCGCCTCAGATCATCAGGCGTTAGATTCTCATAGGAGCACCGGTCCCTGGTGCCAAAAAGGTTGGGGACCGCTGATATATAGCAAAGACTACGTAACTTTCTATTGCACGCCAGATCTTTCCCAGAAATACTCTGTATAGTGACACCACAGAAAAAGAACTGGATAAGACACAGGAGTTAGTGTGGTGATTTGTTACTTACTGGTGTGTTAAGTCACTTACCTTCTCTGAGGCTCCGTTCATTAGTCTAAAGTAAGCGCTCGCTAATGTTCTTTCTAGTTCTGACACTTTTATGATTCAATGATTTTTTTTAAGCTTAAAGACACAGGAAATCGCTACATAAAAATCTCTGCAAAAGTGGCAGGATATGTCTGACGTTTAGCCATTGAAGCTTTTACGTTATTCTCAGCTGAGGTCTGAACCAAACAACGAAGTTGTAAGTGGAAAAGCACAAGCCCATCTGAGATCATTGTGACAACCACGGCCGAACACAGTGCGTGCTGATATGCTGGGCTGTGCACATTCAGCAACAGAAATGAATATGAATAAAACACAGTGAAAAATATTCAGTGGAAACCTCAGACTAAGTGAGACGATGCCATCATTCTGGACACCCACAGCCCAAAGTTAAGCTGAGAGCCAGCCCGGAGCGTGATCCACCAGCTCTGGGCGCTAGGAAAGCCAAGGGTCTAAAAGATCTCCCTCACTTTGTGTGCGTCCCTCGGAGCTTGTTATGAATTGTAAGTGGTGTATGTAAAATACAACAGCGAAAGCGCGCCCACGGCCCTCAGTCAAGGTCAGCCGCCATTACGCCTGACAGGCACAGTTCTGAGCACAGGAGTCAAGTGGCTCCTCCCGGGCTGCTGTGCAGAGCTCCATGGCAGACCCGGCTCCCCAGTCCCAGCTTTCTGAATGTGGCCCTGCTCCGCCTTTCAACCGTCCTCCCTGCCCGTCCCCAGCCCCATCCCCAGCCCCATCCCCACCTCCAGCCCCATCCCCATCCTTCATCCCCAACCTCATCCCTTCCTCGGAAGCTGATGCTCCTCAGCTCTCCAAGGATGTCATCCACTCAGCGATTGGCAACTCCTCTGGAGGCAAAAGGAGGTCAGAAAGTCGGCGGGCACATAGTATTTCATGTGCCATCCAGAGCCATGTTCCGGGCTGATGGGATGAAAGCTCATGGGGGCATTACCACCCTGCACTCCAGGTGGCACGTGCCCGAGGGCAGAGTGGGCTCCTCGGAAGCCCCAGGGTGGCACTCTCTGGAATAGGGGTCCGTTCCAGGAAGGACAGACTGCTGTCCCCTAGGGTAAGAAGGCATCTGGTATACCCAGCTTCCACGCTCCGCTACAGGCTTCCTTGGAGGACGATTCCTCATCGAGGGCTCGGTGTGCATCTTGTGATTGGCAGGTATTCAGCAGTGGCAGGAACTAGCTGAGCCTTGGTGAGAGGGAGCCCTCGCTGTCCTTCCCTGTCGCTATGGCTATGCTGTCTGTGACTCACTGCTGAGGGAAGGCCAGTCACAAAACGATCACTGTATCCACTTGCCGAAGTTTACACTCGTCCACCAGCATTCACCCCAATACGTGCAGGATTTTGCAGAAGCTGGACAGACGACTCAGGCAGGGACGTGGCGGGGACCACGTGCCTGCACCCTATCCTCGGCGGTGCCCTCGTCTCGCACAGTGCTTACTGGGACGTGGTGTCACTGCGGATTTGCTTGGCTGGGGCTGCAGGGGAGTGGGTCAGTTCCAGGGACTCCTGCTTGGCCCCCCTTCCTAAGTGTCTCTGACTCCGTAGGACAAAGAGTCACCGTTGAGAACCAGGAATCAGGTCCACCAGAAGGACATGAGAACCCGGTGTGGGTCTCCGCAGCCCACACAGCTGGACGGTGAGTGCGCGGGGCGCGTCCGGCCCCGAGGCGGCGAGCCGTCTGACTGCAGCTCTGCGGAGCCCATCGGAGCTCGCGTGGGGCCCAGTGCGGGGCACAGCGGTTGCACAGTGACCGGAAGTGGGGCCAAGAGAACAGTAAGGGGAGAAGCGGCACCCCTACGAGAGGCGCCTCGAGGTCATGAGCGTGTCGATGCCGTGGAGAAGGTTAGAAACACTACGAGCACTCGGCTGCGGGGCACCACGGAGCAGAGCTATGAGACGAGGCCACTGGCACAGAGTGGGGTCTGGTTCCCCTGGTCTGGCTCAGGTGCCAGGTGACCAGGCAGAGCCAGAGGCTGGAAGCCAGGGTGAGGGTTCAGGGAGGGCACAGGCCAGCACCTAGAACCCGGGAGGCCCGGACACCAGGGGATGGTTAGGCTACATGGCTGCAAACTCACTGGAACCAGGAAGGCTTGGCCCGAGAGGGCGGAGCGAGAGGGCCGGGAACCCAGGAAGCGTCAGGGCGGAGACCG